CATTTACGTGATCAACGTCCGTGTATGGTGGAAAGTTGTGAACAGTACAAGATGGTATTCGTTTGCTTAGCGGAAGAAATTACTGCTATTGTAGCTGCGTTATCATAATAAACTTAAACAACAACAATGAAGAAAGCACGAACAAGCAAAAACAGTAACAATAACAACAGCTGACAATTTCAATAACAATAATAATGGTCATATTTAAAGCAACAACAATGAAAATTTTCTTTTTTTCTTGTTGCTGCTAATAATAACTTGCAAACAGTGCTTGTTGAAACTATAATTTTTCCTTTTATTTATCTGATCTCCATGTGTTTTCTCTACTGTCAACAGCTATTCAATCGATTTTAATATAATTAACAAAATATTCGATGCTACTTATCAAGCGAATTTCGTGCTAACACGATAAAGCAAATTTCAATTATGTTGTAATACAACAGCATAGCATATTTGACAATTTAAAAACAGCGTTTTCAATTCCAAAATGCAATAACTTCGCAAAATTTTTTCAACGTTTGTTGTCGACGAAACATTGGCATTTTTAGCAATAAAAGAAGGAAAATCATTGCAATCATCATCGAGAATTTCATCTTTCCCCATTTGATCATCTCCGAGAAGTACGGAAGTTTGTCAAACGCTACAATTAAAATATTCGATCGACTCGAATTTCCCTTTCCCATTTTGCGATTTTTAATCAACATTCAAAGAATTCTGTACTTTTGAAACACGTAATAATAATAGCATTTAATAATTCATTATTACCAGAACCAAGTTAAAGAAGATTAACTGCAGGAAGTAATTAAATTATTGCTATCGATATTTAAATAAGATAATAATATAATTGGCAATGTCGTTTTGAAAATTTAAGTGATCAAGTCATAGAGTGGTTGATACGGAAATAGTACTTGCTTGAAGAAATTGTTTTTTAATTCGTTTTCACTATCACTTCAAAACTGGTAATAATATAATTTCAGATCATTAAATGTAATGAAAATATAAAAATGCTATTACAGAGTTATCTTTCCATCTACTTAATTGTGTCTCTCATTTCTAAACAAAACCAAATAGTCATCTGAAAGGAAAAGGCAGATATCAGTGATAAAATAGCATGGAAATTCCTAAAACTTAATTATAATTCTAATTTAAAATAAATCCACCAAGTCAACGTCAACCAGGAAATTTGGGATGAAGTTGTTGCGTAGTTGTACCGCGTTGAGAAAGGGCATTTACATACGTGCAATATGGTGTCTTTGGGTGACGTCACAGAATTAGGAGGATGGGATGTGGTGATTTTTGTGTTTGTGGTTTACGTGGTTTTTGTGGTGTTCTTGAAGAAGCCTGCTAAACACATACGTCCGGATGGGGAGGAGGAGGCATCGAATGCTCTTCCACCTATAAAGAAGAGAGATTTTACGGTAGAACAATTGCTTCCCTTTGATGGTGTGCAAAATGAACGAATTCTTATGGCTGTTTGTGGAAAGGTATGGTCTTCCTTTCATTTGGATTCTTCTGAAATTTTTAAACACGAGTCTTAGTGGTTCTTTCATTAAATTGATTCGAGTATGATTATTTGAATCAACATTGAATGGTTCATACTTTTTGTTGTTTAACCAACTGGTTAGACTGATTTTACCGGTATTGGTTCGAGATTAAAAAAAAAGTCAGGTATGAAGTGGAGGAAATGTAGAAAGGATTGGAATCCTCAGAAAACATTTATTATAATATCAGATCTGATTCCTGAGAGATCTAATCTTGGTTCCTTATTAAGATTGAAACTGGTTAAGATTGAAACTGGTTGTTTTGGAAGTGCAAGATTTTGTAGGTATTTGATGTAACGAAAGGAAGCTTATTTTATGGTCCTGAGGGTGCATATGGGAAATTAGCAGGCCATGATGCCACGCGAGCATTGGCAAAGATGGATCTCACCTTGGTTAAAGACACTCCAGATGATTTAAGTGATATCTCGGATTTAGATCTTCATACAGCTAGAGAGTGGATGCAGTCATTCATCTGTAAGTTTCTTTCATGGCTACCAGGATTATCATATTTCTTTACAAATTGCATTTTTAAGGACTTTCAAGTGGTATCGTAAGTCTCGAGGTATGTTTGAACATATTGAATATAAAGTTCGTCACCGGTTAACTAATTATTAAACCAAGCAATTAATGTAGTTTATTCGTCAAAACTATCCTGCTTATCGGTTTTCATTAATCAGGATTACGCAGTTATTATGATTTTGTTCTGTATATTTTTTTGTTATAGGCAAATATCCCGTTGTAGGGAAATTATTAGCCGAGGGAGAAGAGCCGACCGATTACAAGGACGAATTGGCATCGCTGTAATTACCCAAAATTTTAACTTCAGTGAAATTGGGATTCTCAAGTGTGGCTAAATTTGTTTATGTGCTATTTTATTGAGATAGTCAAGATATTTTAATACAGCACGATATTTTTATGCATAATGTTTTGCTCTCACATAAAGAGAAGTGGCCTAGTTTGAATGAATATTGCTTATAGCATGTCAGGTTGTGCATTATTTTTCATTGCCTTTCATTTTCTTATGTTTACTTATATTTCACTGTTCAATTGCAGCTTTTCTTTCTATTATTGAGATCTATTTCTTCAACATTTGTTTGAAATTGTCGTTTCGAAATAAACAAGTTTCAATACTTTTTTGACGTGTTATTTATTATTAATTGTTCTAAAGTTCGACCTTCATTACATAGTTGTTTAAAAAGGAATTTAAATCAATTGAAATAGAGGAGCAGGTTTGCAATGAATTACTTGACGCGCTGTAGAGAAAGAATGGAATTCGTTTTATTTACTTTCGGTGCATTCTTATTATTGGTTTACTCCTATCTTTGATTCAAGGAGAAATATGGCATTTATGTATCCAATGCATTTTCCAACAGTGCCATTACGATGGGATGAATCAGCGTGGGCAATTCCATGTACAGATGCAGTTGATGAAATCTTGCTTTCAAGGCTAGAATCACGTATTAGTGCGCAGGTGATTGTTTACAATCCACGTAACGACAAATGATAATTTTTCGAATAACACGTGTTTCCATTAAAGTTCTCTATATGGCAGTGTATTTAAAGAGATCTATTATTCCTTTTAAACTCATTTCAGTCTATATTTACTCAAATGCGTTCGGTACCAAATGTTATATCTGGAAGCACTTTACTACAAGAAATTGATGATCTAGAAGAGGATGACGAAGAAGTAGCTGATGAAGATGATGAACAAAATCAGTAATCTCACCCCATTTCAATCTGTAGTTTTGTTTAATCCCAAACATCGATACATTTATTTTTTTCAATATTATCTATATAAATTTAAAAGAGAAAGGGAACCTCTAATTCTGCCATGCTCTTGAAATTTTTTAAGATTAGTATAAGAAGAAAAGTCATGAACTGACCTAATTGCAGTCATGTCAACATTTACGATGTTTTCCAAGCAATTGCTAGCTGATGCTGTTCTCAGAAAATGTATTGATGTTTAAAGTTCCTAATTTGCAGATAGGTGATATTAATGTTCTATTCATATAACTCTTTCATAGAGGTCATCTAAGTTGCGATCTGTCTAATGAGACGTAAGAATTCACTACAATTTCACTGATCGTTATCTCATATATAATTTGTATAAATAGGTTTCATAATAGTTTTTCAGCCCAAAGTACACGCAGGATGTTAGGATCATGAGCTATTGTTCTAACTAGCTTGTTGCATTGTGTTGGATGAATAATTATTTCCTTTTTATCCATTTTTGTTGTGAAATAAAAGTTGGCAGCTATGTGCAATTACAAACCAGAAAGATAATCGGCCAACATTTGGGCTTTATACTATCCAGTTTATTTCTCCATATCTTCTGTAACGAGGACAGGAAAAATCACTATGAGATCAAGTTTAGAAGATTCATTCATGGCAGGAAAACAAAGAAATAACTGAAGAAGATGAGGGGGAACAGATTTATTGTACTACATTTTTACCAGTGTATGCTTTATTTAGCTTAGTCACAGTATAAAATGAAAGGATTTCACGGCTATTACGAATTATCATAGAAAATAAGTAGAAATCGGTATATTCCTAGAGCAAAGACTAAAAATTTGTGGTTGATTTTCATACAATTTACTTTAGAATAACAGTTATGAATACAGATGTAGATGAATCGTATGTAATAGGACAACTTAACTAAGTACACCTTCGACAATTAAACTTCATCTTATAAAATAACTATCATAGTGAGGCCAGATCCAAACTTCCTTTTTGAAACAAAATCAACGAGCAAAACGAAACATTTGCTCCAAAGTAAGTAAAGATATACAAAGGCTAATATTTGCACTTAGACATAAGTCATTAAGATATATCATGGCATTTGTATTTTCGAAGCTTATATTTTATCCCATCTGGTATTAATATCGCAAAAAGATGTTAAAATGAATTATAACAGATCGATTACCTTTAGAGGTACCTTTAGAGGTAATCGATCTGACACTTGTTTTTTCTTTGAAATTTTTTTTGTGATAATCCTTTCGACTATTTTCAAACAACTGCACTTTTCCCTACATTTCCATTTATGCACAAATAGCACCTGAAAACAGAAAGTTCAACATATAAAATAGCCACAATGGATTGGGGAAGTTATAAACTTTATTTAGCATTCACTTTAATTTAAATCCGGACCTCTCACTTATCTATCGCTGTTCCATTTTTCCGAATCTATCATTTTTTCTTCTTGTTATTGAAATAATTTCGGTGCTAAAACATATTTTCTATCATTGCAGTTCAAACTCATTTTAGCTCAGTTCTGTGCTGATAGAATTATTTGAATAAGATTTAAAGTGTTCCGCTAGAATTGTTGCAACTGCTTACCATAGATTATACTCCGGAGTCAACAGAAGATGTACGATTCAAAAGAGTTTTCGCGACGGATGCTATACGTTCATTATCATCAAGCATTGGATCATGGTTCACTCCATATATTTTAATTGCTTTACGACCCATACTTTGCAGTAACTCGGATGACACCCGATGAGCAGTCCTCAGTGATATGTGCCATTCACCCAGTGATATCTCATCCTAAAATTATTTGGAATTTTATCTTGAATATTAATTTAAATTTTGCAGCTCTTGGATTGAACCTCTGTAATAAGATATTAAATTTCCATAACTTCAATTTTGAAAAAAATAATTAAATTTGGATAATTCCTTAATTCTTCTGAAAAATGTACCAAAAAAAAGAACACAGAATGAATGAAACGTAAGCAAACCTGATTGGTAAGAATTAATTTTTGCTCTTTAAAACCCTCTTTCAATTTTACAATTATCGAATGCTCTCCTTTGACATTATGTAAATCCACAGCGACATCCTCAATTTGATCCATAAATATTAGCTGAAATAATTTGGATTCACAAGCAAAAAAAAAAACATTATTAAGAAAACTAATCAATCAGACTAAGAATTGGAAAAATGAAAAGAAAAGCTGGAAAAAATTTAAATCGTTTAAGATTTACTACTGAGTTAAAAACTTTGCAGGAAATTTTCTCCGTTTAAAAACGATTTTTGCATCGTCTTTACAATAAATTTATGATCAAATTTCATATTCTTGCAACAACAGAAGTGATAAAAGAGTAAATAAATATTTTTAAAAGAAGAGATAATTTACCTCCGGTTTACCGTTAAGTGATTCCGGATAAAGCTCAAGCCGACTTGGATAAAGTTTAGCATAACGGGTTTGCCACGCAGATGTGAATGGTCCACCGAGTTTTTTTATATAACCATGTACAATTACATCCGACTCTAAAAGAAAAATAATGAATCAATTAATTTTTATCTCTTCATTGTCGAATTATTTATTTCCATTTTCTCAAAATTATCTAATTATTAATTATTTCACTGTCCAATTTATTATTTAATTGTTTGTTCACAATATACAATTATTTATTTCTAAATTCTTCACCTTTTTCATCATTGCCAAGTTTAGCTCGTTGCTTAGCTCGTTTCTTACTCTCGGCTTTATCAGCATCCTGGTTTACCACTTCAAAAATTGTATCTGCTATTTCATTTTGCCATCGTTCCGAAATTGTTATATTGAAATCTTTGTATAACATGCTATCGGCTTCGGTTAGCTAAGGAAAGAATTTCGTGAAAATCGTCAATTTCAGAATGAAAAACTCAAGAATGGCAGAATGACAATTAAAATACAAATTCATGACTAACAAGAGAACTTGGTATAAAAATAATATAACATCGTTATAATTATTCAGTGCAGGAAATCGTCTGGCAATGGAATGATTGAGAGCAAATATATATCTACGGTCCCGAGGAAAGTTCAGGATACCATCGGTGATTCGATTTGTCTGTATTCTTAGTTGGTCACTATATGATAATATATTTGTCCTATTTAATTTGAAGTTTGAGGAATAGAATACGACAATAGCTAAAGAATCGTACCTAATTTAACTTCACATTTTGCAAAGGTCAAATTTATCGAAAATAGATTTTTTCATCATTATCACATTAACAGCTGCTCAAAATTTGCTAAATCATTTTTCAATTATTTCAATTTTCTAATTTTGATTGCTTACATATTTTTCAGAACCATTTCAAAAATCAGCCTTTTATTCATATCCTTTATACCATAAATTATATTAATTAATTTAAGTGAAAATTCAGAAAAAATCAAAGGGGATATGAAAAGAAAGCCTTACTTTAATACCTTTCACTTCATCATCGTCAAAATTACCGATATCGAAGGCATCAGCAGCATTGACCTCACCTCTCGGTGGAATAATCGGTGGTGGCATTCGTCTTAAATATACTGTTTGCCAATTTACCGAGGCAAAGAATGGATGTTCTTTCACTTCTTCTGGACTGAAAGACTATGTAATTTAGAATTTCATGGAGAGAAGTATTACATCGAAAGTTCTTTTCAGGTATGCATACCTTCCATGACTAATGATGGCTCACATTAGCTAATATTGACTTCTTTTTCTTTAGAAGGACTATTTCAAAATACAAGAAAGCTCCAAAATATCACCTCTCTGTCCATGTTTTTGCCGTTTCTTTCCCTCTTCAGTAAGTATTGTAGTACGAAATATATTTTTCTGTCAACTGACGTACAATAATGTTGAAATTTCACTAATTTCTTTATTACTATGATATATTACCAGGTGTATTACCAGTAAAAAAAAATCCATCCTTTAATGCTCTCGCAAATTTACTTTTATATTTTTAAAAAATTTACTTTTATAAAATTTATTTTTAAATTTACTTTTATTTTCTGTCGTTTTATCTATGATAATGAATTCTTTTTAACAATACAAACCCTCTTCCACGACATCCAAGTCTATCCGGAACATCATGCTTCAGTAAGCCTTCTATCAAATCTTGGCATTCCGGTGAAAATCCAGCATCCGGAAGCTCAATATCATGACTTATCGATGTGATTTTTTCTATATCATTGTTCTGTAAAACTTTGATGCATATGTATAAATGATAATTCTGAATTGATATCATCAAAATTTCCAATTTTTTGAGTAAATGTTTAAAAAGATTTGAAATGAAATAATTTCATTTTGTTCAGTTATATGACAATCGATTAACAATTAAAATTCATTGAATGATTCATGCAACAATATGATATCAATGGATGAACTATCCTCTCTCTATCCATCTTTTGCACTATCTAGCCTTACTTAGCCAACTTTAACTTGTTGGAAGCTTTTAGAACAAATGATAGCATCCAACTGCTTATTATTCAAATACTAAGCAGTAGAAGAATATCAAAATGGGTCATTGAAAAATACATTCAAACAATTTATTTCTACCTTATTGCCTGTCTTGGTTTTATGCTGCCGAAATGGGCTATGTCCTTTAAGCAGTTTATATAACATACAGCCAAATGAGAACCAATCAGCCGAGGAATCGTATGCAATACCTTTTGCAAGCACTTCCGGAGCCATATATCCATGGGTACCTCTGCAACATATATTTAATTGTTATCAATAAATAGGAGATCTTCCATCATTGACTTTTATATTGCCAAGTATAAAAGGATAATTTGTTGATAGTTCTTAGGCTTGGCTAACTAACAACCTCAAAACACACTTGAACAGCTACTCTGGCAAAGATACTTACACGCTGGCATGTGGCTTCTTCTTTGAAAAATCACATGCTAGACCAAGATCGGAAACACGTACGTGTCCACTCTCATCCAATAGAATGTTAGCCGGTTTTAGATCTCGATATACTACGGAACGATTATGCATATGTTCCAAGCCAAGGATTACTTCCGCCGCATAAAATATCACTTCACTTTCTGCAATGTATCAAAAAGATGCCAATATTATAAATGTGTAATGAGTGAAAACATACCTATTTTATACCTGTTCAACTCCTTTCAGGATATTACGTACCGGCTTATCCTATTCATCCTAAATTTAGCTCTCCGCTAAATTCAATTGACCTAAATGAAAGTTTGAAAGATAAATTTCGCTCCTCAGTAACATTCATCTATTATAATTTCTTGTGTCATAATAAGATGGAAACATTCGGACAGATAGAGAAATGTGTGTTGGAGCCGTTTTTTTTTAGTTTATATAACCGGGAGTTAAAACATTATTTACCGGAAGAAAGAAAAGGATTGAAGAGGAAAATGGAACTTACCAGAAAAGATACCATGTTGACTGAGGTGATAATGCAAGTCACCGCCATTCATGAGTTCAAGTACAAAGCATAACTTATCAGGTGATTGAAATGCATATGTCATACAAACGATAAATGGACAGTCTTCCTAAACATTAAATATTTTAAGTAACGTTTTAATTTGTGATATTAAATTTGAAGATTATAACCATTTATTCGAAGTATTCATCAAAAAAGAGAAAAATTATCACATTCCCATGAACAATCATTGATCAGATAGATATGATTGAATTGCATATTCAATAGGACATAAATAACTAATTGAGTAACAAAATAAGTAAATGATCAAGTTTTCTTATTTCTATCCTCATTTCACTTCAAATTTTCTGTTCTAATGTTATGCTTATTTAATATACATTGTTCCTCAATTTAATATAAAAGAATACTGAAGAAACCTATTTCAGCAATTTTCAATCCCTACAAGAGTTCAAATAATGAAAATTAAAAATACAAAGGACAAGAAGGAAAGCAAGTGATACTGTTGTTGGGAATTTAATTTATGATCTCGCCGATTCTCTGGTAGAAATCTCTTTCATTCTTTCTCCTTCTTTCTTTCTCTTTCTCTCTCTCTCTTTGTTTTTCTCTGTTTCTTTCTCTTTTGAAATGTTGAAATTTACAGAGAATACGATGATATACTTTTTAAAATTCACTATGGTAATAGCTTTAAGCCCTTTCGTGCTTATTGAATGTTTTTTTTGGCATGAAAAAAATGTCATTTTTAGAGAGAAAAAAAGAATCAATTTCGTGCAGTGACTCATCAACCATCTCTTCCTCCCCTCAGATTATTTTTTTATTTCAATCCAAAATGAGTATCATTGAACAAGGCTAAATTCTAGTATTATTAATATATATGAAATTAAATTATTCGAGATATGTATATTTCTCAATATTTTTTTTATGAATTGAGGAAAAGAAATTTGAAAGCTTACTCCTGTGCTAACAAGACTAAGCATGATACGTTCGTTAAGCGCAAGTGTTTCACCTTGTTTCATTTTAATTCTTTTCTTGTCTAAACATTTCATTGCATACCTGCAAAAAGAATCATTTCATCATTCATTTCATTCATTAATTGTTTTAAAAAAAATTTGCTTTTTATAATTAATCTGTAAATCATTGCGCATGTAACTTTGCCTGACAAATACTTAAAAAAACAAAAAAGAAATAAAATATGAAAGTTTTCGCTTTTCATTTAGACATTTAATTGATCCAATTAGTTTCTTTTTTAAAAATTGCGCTGCTGTTAACCGATATATTAATGATATAAAGCAACGTTTAGTTGTTAATTGAAATTGACCAAATTCAAACGTTTAAATGCTTTTTTTTCTCTTCCTCTTCCTATCGATTTTCAAAAGTGCTTCCGAATGCTCCCGAGTGCACTTATAATAAATAATTACATTTTCCCTGTGTCTGCCTTACGACAGCCATATACCTCACCAAAGCCGCCACGTCCAATTATTCGATGTATCGAAAAATCATTCACTGATAATTGCATATTCAGCTCTAAATTTTTCCACTGGCAAAATCGCGTGAATTTATCACTGAAATGTTAATGAAGTAAGCAAAACTAATTGCATCAAACAACAAATATAAAATTCAAATTTTAACATTTAAATTTAAATTGCTCTTATAATGGTTGAAATAGCAAACGCGAAAGAGGTAATGTATCATCAATTTGTCGTATGCAATCTGATATGTTAGCCATGAATTTTGTTGCAATTAAAAAAACGCTATGAGCTTAGTTCTGCTCAATTTTTCGAGAAAAGAAACAAAAATAAATGATAAGGGAAATCCATCATTTAATGTTTTGTGAAAGAATCACATTTCGAATGTCATTTCAAATTTAAAATGATAATTGCACTCGCATATGTATAATTTTCGATTCATTCAGTTTAAATTAATCTACCAAAAAAAAACATCCTGATTTTTGATATTTTATGTATCCGTTTGAAGCCATCTTTTTATTCAGTTCAATTAAAAATTTATTTTTCTATCTATGATTAGAAGGCTATGAATATCATTTCATTTTTTGTAACTAATGTTGCAACAAATATTGATTCTATCAAACTCATTACCATTTTCAATAATAAAGATTAATTTACGGATGGTGCAGCAGTTATGAGGAAGAGAGAGAGAGAGAGAGTTAATTACCATATGGAATGAGCAAAGTGTCAAATTCAGAAAAGCTGAGATTAATTTTTCTCATTAAAAATCTCTTTCATAAAGTGCAGCCTCTCTTATCGTTTTCCTATCTCAGTAAAATTAATTGCTTACCTTTCTAAAAATTTCTGGAAGATGTCACCTTTCAATTGCTCACATATTTCCAATATATATGGCTAAAATTATTCATTGAAAAAGTTGCCATATTCTAACATTTTATACTTTAAAATTAATTATACCGTAAAAACCCTTGAGGATATACATTGAATTTATTAATACCACATTTAATTCTATCCGTCCAACAAGGAACAATATTTCTTATTCTCATATTTATTTCTTCCAGTACTTAATGTAATGTCCTGAAACTTAATTCTTATTATCTGATGAATTTATTGAAACCAGTAAGATTTCACTTTTTCTTTTATCTATGAGATATTCAAACGTTTTCTCTCGTATCTCGCAATATTACCTGAAAGAGATCCGGTTGTACATTATTTTTCATTAAATTCCTCTGCACATGTTGTAAGGAGCTTTTTGAGTAATTCTGTAATAAAATACAATTAATGAAATTTTCCTAAATAGTTAAAATAGAATAAAATTAGCGAAACATTCCTGAAATTTCATTTAGATTTAAATTAATTCAAGATTTAACCAAGTTCAACGCTAATATTCCCATAATTTTTAATGACATTCCACACATATGTAGTAAATCTACTTGTTAAGTTGTTATTATAAATTAAATTTGCTGAATACTATCATTTCTGAAGTGTTTAAAAGAAGAAATTTTCGATATTTTCTTCCTCTTTCAAGTTCTGAGGCAAGAATTTTATTGAAATCGCTATTCACCAGAACATCGAGATCTAATACTTGATAAAGTACATGATGCATGCAACAAGCAACATGCGTTTTTTCCAATGATAGTAGTAAATTTAAGCTTAAAACTTAAGTATTTTTTTAAAGAACTGTTTTGAACAAAGAGATAGTTTTAGTAACAATTTGACAAAATTAAGATATATTAATTATTAAAGACAACAATATTTTATTTGTTAAATTTCGCTTAAAACATTTTTACATGTGAATGGGCAAGCATTTCGACCATAATATTGTGATCGTAGATTTCACGAGCTTTAATTAAGCGCTCTTCGGCAGTTCCCATCTTCTCATATTCCTTAATCTAAATTTAACAAAAAGGTTAATATTACTAATAAATTGCAAAATTCATTTTTCAGCTCTATCAATTATCATTTGATGAAGAATGCTATAACTGAAAATGAATAATTTCGCCTCATATTTAATAAATTATGGTGGACTTTTTTTTATTCCACTTTTTTTTATTTTCAATTCAGTGAAGCAGTTCCAAAGAAAAGAGTCGCTAGAGAAGTTAAATTATCAAAAATTAAAATTAATAAGCTGAAGCAATACTCATCATTGTCATTTGACATTCATTAAATTTCTGATTGATGTTTTAGAAAGAAAACAAAATTTAAATATTATTAATTTGAAAAAAAAAATCACTCTCAAAATCAGGCAGACATATATGAACTTGTAGAAAAGAGATCGTGAAAGAAAAAGAATGAATACGTTTACCGCTTCATAAAATTTGATTTGTGGACAAGCTGTTTCGCAAATATTGTCCGCAAAATCTTTTAACAATAAAAAGCCTAAACGTTGACCGAATATTCGTTCGAATTTGATTTCACCTGTTTTCTCCAAATATTTTTGCATAATACTCCGAACACTGTAAGTTAAATAAAAATATCAATAAAACTTTATAAATTTTCGAAAATTGCGAAATTTTTCCTCTCGATCATATCGATTAGCACTAAATTACATTTTAAAAAAGCATATAAACAGATGCCTCGGATCCGGAAGAACAATTTTTTTGGATGCTCGTGCAGCTGGCTGAGTTCTGGATTTCTCCATAGCCATCAAGTAGCTTACATCTGCGAGAACAGCTTCGAGATCGGCCATTTTCAACTGTTACCTTTGTCGTTTGTGCTACGTTGTCCAAGCGCATAACACGTATATTAGAATTCTTGGGCTAGTTATTAGCTTGAAACATATTTTAACCAAATACGTTGTTATGTCTGGAATGGAAAATAATAAATTATAAGAAAAAAATTTGAAATAAGAATTTGAAGCCGTTTAAATGAATAACGAAACAAAACGCTTCCTTCATCTCTAAAAACTTCATCTTTCAATGACATTTATAAATGAAACTTTTTCCCGTTTCATAACGCAATTGTTTGATTCAATCGTTGCTTAATTTTTATCACAAGAATGCTTTATGAATGTTTATGATCTTGTAGACAAACCGAGCCCATATTGCTATAACATTTTTTTAAAAAAAAGAAAGACAGATAGAAAATCAATAATCCAAAACAATTTACTCAAAGACTTATTTGTGCAAATGCTATTGTTGTGATGCCCCACATTTGTAGTATTGACAAATATTATATGAATCTTTCGGGAATATGCCTTCAAATTGTAAAATTTGAAAATAAAAAAAGTACGAAGAAAAATAAAAAACTAAGAATTTGCCTATAAGAGAATAGATAATGGG